GGAACAGCAAATTATGATCTTCTGGCACCTCAGAACAGACTGTACAGAAGAAGTTGCATTGAGAGTTTACAAGTCTTAACTGTGAGCCTCTGAGGGCATCATGATACAAATAAAATTCATGCCGCTGCCCAAGAGTAATGGCACATGCAGAAAGCTGTCTGCATCTCTAATAGCATATGAATATATGCAAATCTTACTGAGAAAATTGTTAGATGGAGATGTTGAAAGAAGACAAGCCAGAAATTTGATAAGTAGAAAGCCTTTTAGCAGTATGAACATCTGAACAAGTCCTGTTTTAGAGTGAAGAGAAATAGGTACATCTTTACAACAAAACTTACTTGAAGTGTGATGCACTCCAGAAATGCCTTTTCTTTTCACTGACTATAAGAAGAATCTATATTGGTCTAGATGCATATGCATGTGTGCACCAAACATGGCATGGCTTCTGTCTCGGGGGTTTTACCAAAACCACCTTAAATGAAAATCATGGTGTGGCTTTATGCCTCACACTTTGTCTGTAATATGCGATATTACCCAGACCTCTGCTTCTGCATTTGAAGCACTAATAAGGAAGCAGTAAAGCAAGAATAAAGTAGTCTTCTGAAACATGGTGTCAATGGTTATATAAACAGCAAGTGCTTGCCACATGGCAGCCAGTGTATTTTGTTGCATATATAGAGTGATTTATGTGCACAGTAGGAACTTGAAACATGGTAGGAAATGAGACAACACAGCTTAGATTTTTTTTTGCAGAAGGCCTACATAAATTATACAGTTGTTCTTAACAGTTATTTATATTTATGAAGTGCCAAGGAATTTCCAATTAAAGTAAAATTATTCTTCTTTTTTGTTGTTTTAGATGTGTGGTTTTTAAAGACAAAATTTATTCAGGAATTATTTCTGCTCCCTTACTCACCTTTTGATATCTCATGTAGTTTTTTACCACAAATGGCTTGTGGGCTAGACACTGGCTTTATGGAGCATTCTGTCCTAACTCAATTTGGAAACTGAAAGGAAATGCTAGCATGAGCGGCTTTCCCAAGGTTGAGCCTGAAGTGTATATATACATTTAGTTTTTCTTGTCTTGTTGATGAGCTGTTATCCCTGCATGGATTATGACTATGGCAGAAACTGCTATCAGAATATTCAAAACCTAAATAAAGATCTGCTGTCTAAAAAAGAAGAGACTTTCTGCTTCCTTAGTGGGTGATGAAATAAACATGTGAAGATCAGTAAAGATGGCAATAATTAATATAAACCCCCTCAATGCTTGTATGAAACAAGTTCTGTAACTGCTTTTGGTGGAAATGCAGATGTAAAACAGGGCATGTGCACAAATGCTGAGGATCAGGAGAATAATAGATTGTAAAAGCAACACCCTGGAAACATTTTATTGGTGGAAAACATGCAAATGCACAAAATAATACTGGAGGCTGTTGTGGAAGCTACAGAAATAAACCATGATGTTATTTATCATTCATATTGATCACTGAGTTGTGAGAGCAAATTAATGTTGGTTTTGGGGATTTACCTATTGTGAAAACAATATATGCTGGTAAGACAAGAACAATATGCTGGCTCTCATTAAAATGAAAAAGCAATTAAAGAATAGATTGAAGGGGTCATGCTTTGTTTCATTTATTGCTGTTGCTATGAAAATGCAAGTATTTAAAGAATTTTGTACAATTAATTTAAAGGAGAAATAGCCTAACATGAGCTTGTTTGTTCTCAGGGTAGGAATGAAACTACACTAGGAATTTTAGAAAATGTAGAAAGCAGACAAAACTACTTTAAAATCTAGTGGTGTATTTATAGCTGACTATTAATATTTAGCTTAAAAAATATCATCCACCTTATAGATTAATAAGGTTGAGTGCAAATATATGTTACATTTGTTTTCAAATATTTACACATTTTGTGTATTTCAAAATGTAGCAGAGTGGATTACAATAAATTAACAGTTATTTCTGAAGGATGTGTAACAAAGTTTTCAACAGTTCTGCTCAACTGCCAAAACAATTTTGTAATTAAAGGTGACATGTCATATTATCATTATGTAGGCCATGGAAGTGTTGAGGTGTGATCCATAGAAGACAGTTTTTTCCCTAACATCTGGATGAAAGAAGCATAAAAGCATTTTTTTGTATAGGTTCCTTTTGTACAGCAAGTGAACAGCTCTGCAGATTTTAAATATCTCAAAGAAGATGAAGACAAAAATGATGGATAGAAACTTTTACTGACTCACTACGAAATGCTTTCCTGGTTTGGTATGTGATTACCGTGATGTAGTACAGTACTGGAAGACTGAGAGATGATAAAGAATTGATGTGTAGTTACTGGGACACCTATATATAGCTCTTACCTACAAGCACATAACAGCAGAGCAAAGGCAGTGTATGCACTCAGTGGTATGCATTAGCTCTCATGGACTTCACACTCTGACTTTCTTCGGGAAATATAATTACCTTAACCTGATTTAGTCCCATTCTCTAGAAAAAATGCATAATTTTCAGAAACACATAAGCAGTGTTGAGTCTTTTCAGAAGACATTGATGAGTTCTTTTGATGAGGAAAGATGCGCTGCATGAAAAAAAGCAACATGCATGCACTTGCCCTGAAAAACTGGTCTTGGACCTGCCCGACACTGTGGCTTCTCTATGATTCCTGAAAACTTCTAGAATTTATGATACTCATTCTTATCAATTAAATTCCTCAGTTGGAGGACTGAAAATAGTGTTTCTTGTGTAAAATTTTTGGGGAGAATGGGAAAGTTTTTCATTTTCATTCCTGAGTATCATCAGTGTTTTCAAATATAGTCCACTAAAATAGAGAGAAGTGTTTTCTGGCCAGTAACTGTGCTGTGAAATACAAAGAGAAAGGCAAAAATACACATTCATGCATCTCTTTATATGAAGTTGTGTAAATTAAATTAAAATTTCTATTTTTTTCTACAAACATCATTCTAACAGCAGCAATACGTTTTTGATGCTCCCATCTAAAGCTTATTTACACTAGGACAGTGTTGAGTGCCTTCCGTGAGCCATTTTCCACAGTGACTGTCCTTGACCAAACCAGAAAATTAATTTGATTTCTCTAATGCAAAAGGTAATTGGATTTCTCTTTATAGAATGCATCCCTTTAATGACTTTCTCTGCTTCAGCCAATTTAGCTGCAACCAACCTGACATTGGTCTGGTGTATGACTTTAAACAAATGCCAAAGCTGGGAGATGCAAGACCGACTGTCTGGTATCAGAAGAAACATTTTCTGCCTCATCTTGCCATTTTCCTCAGAAAATGTCTCCTTCTTGAATGTCAGTCTTATGAAACATGCTACTCTAGTAACTGGTCGTAAAGCAGCTGATTGCATCCTCCTAACAAATATAATAAGTATTTCCTAGGAAGCATCTGGAGAAAATTTGAAAGTTGAATAAAACCTCTTGAAATATTAGTCCTTTTTTGCAAGTATTCATTACTATGTAGACTCTTCCTAAGAGAAAAAGGTGCTCCTAAAGTAGTGAAATAAATCTTTACAGAGGTCTTGTTCAGTATTACGTATTTATCAAAATACTTATTTAGGTAATGGGGATCTTATAAAAAGTATCATTGCATGCTGATCTGAGAAAAGTTTTACCTACATAAAATAATTAGTAAAGATGGTATTTTGGATACAATCTGTTCTTTCTTCAGGCAAGGATTAATAAAATCCCGGAATATGTGTTTCTATTTATTTAACATAGTCATTAACCCTTGGACCCAATCCTTCAGGCTAATATGCTGGGCACTTTTAACCCCAAATGGACTTGGAATGAAAATTTGGAAGTTGAATGTAGTTTATACATAGTCTTAATTTAATCATGGGTCATGTGTTCCTCTTGATAAACACTGTTAATGTTGATTGAAAGTGGTAACTGACACTCTGGATAGTAAACTGGATTTTAAAATCTCTGTATATAAAAAAAATGTAGTGGAAAATAAAACTAAGTAAATTTGACTTCAATTTGAAGTTGTTTCCTTCTGAATCCTTACTAAAAGTTATTTTTATAGAAATCAAAATAGTAATTTTCCACTGTCTACTGATACCAGTGTTAGATAGTAAGAATTTATGTATCTGTATTTTGAAGCAGGTGCTCACCTGTTTCCATTATCTGTTCAGTTATCTCTTGATCTTTATGTATGGATAGGTTTTCCACTCTTCTGGAGCTTTTGCAAAATGGAATTGATAAGATTACTGTAATGTAAGTTTCAGGGCTTTTTAGTACAGTTAACTTGAAGTAAATGGATATGAAAACACAGCTTCCCAAAGGTGCAAGTGCCTTAGGGGTACTCACCTCCTTCATTTAGCTAAAAGTCTTTTTTAATACTTATGTGTACCACCCAGATGTAGTGTATGCATATGAGTCTCTGGACAGGGAAACAGATGGTCTCTTTAGATAGGAATTATGAGAATGAGAATAAATATTTCATACTTTTAAATTTTGTGCAAGTTTTAAGGGGTCTTTATATCTCTAGTCCCAAATGTGCTTTTCTTACTGATACTGGGAAGCGAGAGGGGATTATAAATGACATACAGTGCTAATCCACAGGCTGACACTCCTTGGCTGCAATTCTGATTTCAAGAGTGGAAATTCTGCTGATGCTGCTCTCAGGGAAGAAGGTCCCCTCTCCCAGGTTGGACCAGAAAGCTTCTTAGCCATAGGGGTACATAGCTTATGTACTGTAGGTTGCTGTGACTTTTAGACTAGGACCTCTTCTTTTCTCATCTTTGTAACTCCACAGGTTTTCTTGCTCCTTAAGGAGTTGTGTGCATATCTGGGGCAGAATGTGTAGGCCAATAAACTTTGTGATGATGGCAAATAACATTTTTCTACTGTCAAACTTTTAAAATTATCAGAACTGAAACAGGTGTTTCATGCATAAAATAAAGTGCTCTTAAAGTCCTTGTTAGAACTTTCTTTTGGGACACCAATTTATCTGTATATTATTTCTTCTTTCCCTGTAGGTCACAGATATGATGCTTCAGGATAAGCCCTATCCAGACTGGGGAAAGTCTGCCAGAGCTTTCTGGAAGAAGGGAAACATTAGGATCATTTTATTCTGGTAGGAAAATAGTAAAATCAAATTGTTATAAATGAGCCTTTGCTAAACCCTCAAAAAATGTATCTTCTAATTGTCTGTGGCAGTATAAAGAAATAGAATATATGGTTGGAAAAAATTGAAACTTGGTCTAACCAAAAATTATACATTACAAAAGCTGTACCTGAGTGAAAAATTCCCAATCAAAATAGTTGGTGTGAAAATGACTTAAAATTTGATTTATACTGGGTTTTTATTATATCTTTGACACTCTTTATAACTGAGTTGCAAAATTTCTGCTGTGTGTTACTGGGTATCTCATTGTCAGTCTTTGTAACTAGGAAAAGTGGATATGTTAATTTCTTTTTGTGACTATGAAATTGATTATAGTAATTCTTTGAATTAACACATGAATAGGATTTCAAATGAAGTGAAAAAAAAATCAATGCAAAATAATGTGAGGGATAAGCATTTATTTGACCTTAAATATAGCCTCTTCCAGGTAAATTTAGGCCAAGGATAATTGTTGAAACAGAACACAAATTGTGATAGGAAAAATAGAAGGTGGAAAATGTTTAGTCTAAGAGGCAGTCGGAAGACCTTAGAGTGGAAGATGAAAGAAACTGCAAAGATTTTCTCAACTGCAATAGAAGCAGAAAAACTCATGAAAATACTAAAGGACCTGCTGGTTTTTAAAGAGCAGATTCACAAGTAATTGTTACAGAGGAGTTGAAAGATGAATTTACATGGATTCTGCTACAGAAAATGCAATACTTTCAGGCAGTAAAATTGCATATTTTATTAAATTGAGGCAATTAAATAAGACAAATACAAACATTAAAAAGAAAGCAGGATCAGATAGGCTGATTGATAGGCTACAAGCAAGATTTATAAGGAACTGAAGGGGCTGAGCTGATGCAAATTTTATTAGCACTTAAATGCCTATTGAAAAATTGAATATTAAAATTTGGCTATTGTTTTACTTTTGTTGCTTTTTTCCAACAAACTAAAATTATCCTTCTGGTGTGTAAGTTTGAGTTCAGTATCAGCTAAATGGATCGAATACATCATCAATAATGGAATTATGAACAAAATTCTAGATTAAATTCTGCTAAAAGAAGCCAGGGTCTATCTGATCTGTTAGAACTGTTTGAACATGTCATCAAAGTAATGGATGAGGGAGAAATGGTTGATCTAATTTATTTGGACTTTCAAAAGGCTTTTGACAAAGTTCTTCACTGAAGGCAATTAAGAAAACTAGTAAGCCCTATGGAGTGTGCTGAACATTTAGGAATCATCTTTGTAGTGTGCACTGAAAGGTATAAATAAAATAATCATGTTCGTAAGACAGGGGAGTCCCATTACTTGACATTAAATTCAGTATTTGCATACGTCATAAATATTAGTGACATGAAAGGATTTAAAGAGAAAGTGAATAATTTGAAAGATACTAGCATAAAAGAGGGATCTTAGAAAGCTAGGTGAAAAAAATAACATGATTGAAAGTTCAAGCTGTGGGGCGGGGAGGCTCAAACAGCTCCTTGTCATTGCAGGATGTGCACAACAAGATTTGATCTCAGTGTCCCAGAGTGTGCAAAAAGGTAAAGCAGATGAATAAAAAAAATGCTCAGAGAGGTACCAAGTGGGCTAGCAATCATTCCAGTGTCATATTGTTAAGTCAGCAAAAAACTCAGTCTACAACATCATTGATTTTTTTTACCCTTGTCTGAAGAATAGGATTGTCTGAAAGAGTAGAAAGGAGATTAATTAAGAGTCAAGAAAAGAATTAATTGCACAAGAAGACTGGAAGAATGGAGAAAGGGTTAAAAGCAAGGTGACAGGGAGATTCCAAATTTATGTGCCAGACATGAAGAACGATAAAACTATTAAAACCACTTCAATATTGTTGTGAGAGATCGAGAGATGTTTTCACTTCTGGTTGTGTGAAAAGTTATATATCGATATCTTCTTTCAAATAATATTCACATTAACATTTCCTACTAGAGTTTTAAAATTGAGATAAAGTAAAAAATGATGGTTGTTCTCATGCATGGTTCTTGTAGTAAAGAGCATGCTCAATGGGGATTTTAAAACCCAAAGGGTGACATAAATGTTTTTGGTTTTAGTTTTAAGCAGTAAAATGAAATAGCCCTGGGCAACAGACTACATTCTGTAGAGATGTTATTTAGATAGCACATGTTAGACATCGATACAATTAGACTTTTTTTTCCCCAATGCATAGGAAAAACAGAAGGAAGAGTTAAATTGTTGATAATGTTATGCATGGTAATGTACTATTTGGATTTCATTTAGTATTGCTTAAGCGGTGTGATGTGAGCAGCCTAATTTCTGAAATGTCCTAAGTGAAGCATCCTCAACAGTATGTCCTACACAGATACTGGTATGCCAAAATCCATTTATTCATGGCATTTCCTACTGGCACACCTGTTTAGCAGAGATAGTGTAATACAGTGCCCTGTATTTTAATTATTCCAAATGTAGATATGTAATGCACAGTTTAAAGCAATTGATGAAACAAAAATATTAGCTACACCCTGGACTTGTTTTAATGTTCTTATCAGTTTTATTTCAGGGTTTACTTTGTAAAATTACAAAATGTCTCTAAACATACCAAGGACGGATTGTCATGGCGATGAAGGTACTATCCACTTGTTTATAACGGTTGACCATGTGACTGCTTTGTGTTTCCTATTTGGAAATATTTTCAGCTCTCCCATGCAACTAATTGGCAAAGGGTTTGGTGTAAATCATTCCCTGGAAATATTGTCAGCAACTGGTTGTTGGCTGCTCCTGAGGATTCTGGCTGCCTTTTGAATACTTTCGCAATCTAATTATTCCAAAGACAGCTCAGCTATCTCAAAAATGTCCACTTGGTATTTGCATTTGTTTAGCACATCGCTGAGGAGTTCATTGACATGCCGTTTACTTCTTTTACATTGAACGGTTGCATTATTCTTTTACGAAAAGATCTCCACTTTGGTCATTTCCAGCTCTTCTCATGGCTAATTCCACCATCCAGAGGCACCTTTGTGTAATGCTGTTACAGTCTGTGATATATTGCTTAATGATATACTGCTTAGTGATATATTGATTAGTGATTGCACATATGAACCCACTATCTTGCAAAGAAAGCGTATTTTCAAGACGGCTTTTAGAAATCAGAGAGTATCTGGAATCCTGGTGGAATCACTGGGGTGGTGCAGACGTGTTAGTGGGTTGCAAAAGAAAGATGCCCAGAGGGAATTAAATACCCACTACACCTGGCAGTCAGATGAGGCTGTGATAGAGACAACTGTCTCCAGTGCTCTGTGGTTACTGTCATCATTGTAAAGTTACAAGCATGGATTGAAGTAGGCTGATATATGTTTTTTGGATATGTTTATAATTTGGCTGTTTTAGGAGGGATAAATTATATATCACATAAGAGGACTGGTGTTTGAACGAAGCAACAAAAAAAAGCCAGCTTTAAATTAAGCCAAATAAAGATCCTGGACAAGACTGATGAGAAGCCAATGGCAGTAATTAGTGATAAGTTGAATAAATAGGACAATATAAAACAGTAGTTATTTTTCATATTGTGTATTAGAGGAAGCAGAGAGAGAGAACTACCATGTAAGAAGACTGATTATTTTGTAAATATTTTTTTATTACCCTGGAACATGGAATAAGTCAAATCTACACTAAAGGTCTTTTTTTAGAAGAATTTTTTTTAAAGGGAGCCACTTCTTAAGACAGAGGAAAGACAAATACATTAAAAATTTACTGCAAATGGAAGTAATGTAATAGTAATGGGGTGTCTGTTTTTACAGTATTTTTCCAAGTGAACAAACCTGTGCAATATGGAACTTTCTAGACATTATACCGGGGTTTGCTGAGAGCATTATGCACTCACACATCTGCACAGGAGTAAGCTCTCACTAGCAGTACATGAAGGTGGTGTTAAAAGCAGCTCACACTAACGCCACAGGATGTGCTCAGATTATATAGTCATCACCCCCGTTAACGCATAGGTCTCTGCCACCAAGGCCAGTGGTTAACCTCTGCCTAATTGGTGCCTGAAATCACTATCTCCTTGTTACAGTGTCTTCTATGGTGGCCTGCCGTATCATGTGAAGAATCAAGCATAGTAGTTGGATAAATTCACCAGGACATCTCTGGGCTGTTGATTAGTAGCTCTATATGCAGTTTGGTTAGTGGGGTCAAGACCTGAATACTCTCTCTTGGCAAACTGTTCCAACATTAATTGTCCTCAAAACTTTCCAACAGAGGAGGGAAGGAATTATAATGAGCAAGACATAAAGAGTTCTTCAGATGAACTTTTAGCTGTATATGGAAAAACAGAACATCAGCTAAAAGAAATGGAATTACTGGAGGAGAGGAAAAGAGCTGCTGAGGTCGGTGTAACCTGTGAAGAAAAAATTGATATTCAAAGGTAGATTACTAAAATGGGGGAGTGTAGAGATAACAGTGGATTGTGCAGCTGAATACTGATTGCAGGCAGGGTGACAGAATAATATATACTAGCTGAATGTTGAATATGCCAGTAGCAGACTGGAATCCATTTCCATGGTGTCTCTGGCTAGACATTCATTGTATATATATACAATGCGCAGTCTTCATCTGTGCAATAATATGTCTTTGACGTAGGACTTCTGTCTGAAATAATACAGAGCACAGACCAGCATGGAGAAGAAGTAAAGTAATATGAAGAAGTGTAAATGTGTGATTCCCTATGTTTGCTGTGTTTGACTTTGCAAACTAGATAATCTATAGTATGTATTTCCGTAAGCTCTCTCAGACTTTAATAAAATATAAAACTGCACATGCTCAGGAATGTATATTAGTAATCACAGTACTTTAATTCAGGTTTAAAAGCTTTTATTCAAATTAATTTTTCAGAATTTCTACAGAGTACTAATTCATGTACATATGTTTATAGAGGACTCTGTTATACATGGGTTTGTGTAGGATTTTTAATTGTACAATATTTTGTACCCTGGAAA